GATGGAGGGAGGGGGGAGGGGTTACTCGAGCGTCTGGTCCTCCAGCTATTGTGCAACCCAACAGTTCTGCGCCTGGAAAACCGGAACGTCGGATGCTTGACTGGCAAAAAATGAGAAGGATGAAATTGCATGGACACGGGACGGAAAACAAACACAACAGGAAAAACGATCGCCCATTCCATTCACACACGACGTGCCGATGCTATGAACCCAAAGCAGAGACAAGCAGTGACCGGCCATTTGGCCGGAAACAAACAACATACAACGCACCGTATACATACCCGTCCAAATAAACAACAACAAACAAGAGAGACGCTCTTCAACAACGCCCGACGACCGGTTAGCGCGGTCGATGCCAATACCTTGGTTGCACAAGATATCACAACGCCTGGACCGAATTTCAAAGCTGACAACTCGGCGGGGAAAGCAGTCATGATGCCGAAGATCGCGGTGTTGGAACCGTCCCGTCCGAACACGTACCGTTTGTCTCCCGCATCCTCTTGGTCATGGGGTAATCGAGCTTGGGACAATTGGTCCATGGGGTGTGGTATCCTATGTCATGTCAACTACGGCAAATAAAAAAACACATGCATAACAGATAGAAAAAAAACACATTTGCACAACTACTATCCTGGTTGTGTACCTGTGGTTGGTCGAGTCCGTGTGCAGGTGAAGGAACAGGAAGAGCCCCAGCTGAGACACGCTGAGTTGTACCGACTGCACCTTGTCTTCCTTGCCCACCCCGACCGCCACCTTCTCAGTAGACCCCAGCCTGAAACGTCAGTCAGCATGAGAGAGCCCAAACATCGACAGACGCAATGTGGTGACTCATTCACACGATTTTTGGAGTTCGTCGGGGGGCGTCAAAGAACTAACACTACAGCCGTGTCTGGTTCACAGACGTCAACAGACAACAGCAGTAGTGTCAGGTCCATTTCCCACTCTACGAAATCAACACAAAAGGGGCTCAGTAAAGCCATGTTGAGAAGGCAGACACAGCGAAAAACACCGACCAGACACCCATACTCCCTTGTGAGGGAATTCATTCACGTCATGCATGGCGCTGGTAGGACGGCGTCAAGAGACTATTACAGCAGTCAGGTCCATCCCTGTCTGGAAACTTAACGACAAGAGGGGGCCATTAATTTGGGCAACGAAAAACTACATTGCCCTGGGAAGACACATACACACACAGCAGTCGTGGCCGATGCTTCGTGCAAGCGGGAGTTGATCGAAAGAAACGAACCTCGTGCACGCGCATTGGTTTCAACTTGGTAGGGGTGGTTGTTGGCCCCTGGAGATGGAACGCCAACTACGGTTCATAGCCTAATGTCGCGCAGCAGCAAGCAGTGCGCGCGCGTGCATAAAAACATTTTCACTGGGATGCACATGCAGGAGAAATCCCCAACAGCCGCCGGGGCAGCGCGCGGGGCGCACAAAGCATGCTTGGAGAAATTCCACAGATGTCACACCTGGGGCTATGGCATTGGTACATGCAGAGCATCTCCCAGAAGAGCTTTGCCGACGGTTCCGACCACTGCAGGACTCGCCATCCCTCGGTGATCCACGTGGTGTACCTAAGGGAGAATCGCACAAAACACAGGAAATGGTGCTCCGCTGACTGGATTTATTACCAATTCATCCGAGACCCCATTCTATGGGAAGTGTTTGCTCGTCCCTTCTGTTATGGCGCCAGCCTACAGGCCTTTCGGGGTACATATCTGACGAATCAGCCGGGGTTACACAGGAAGGTCACACAGGAGCTGTTTCATAGACATAAGCGTACTTATTATATTTCGAAGAACCTCTCCCCTCTCACCGAGCCAACGATCGTCTGACGAATCAGCCGGGGTTACACAGGAAGGTCACACAGGAGCTTTTTCATAGAGATAAGCGTAGAATAATTATATTTCGAAGAACCTCTCCCCTCCCACCGAGCCAACGATCGGCCATCGGTGATCGGTCCCGTGGGAACAATGCTCCGTCCTGTCGGGAACGCGTGGTCAGTGGTCTAACCGCTAAGGCATGCAAAACATAAGAGTACCCTCCCCCCCCCTCAGTGTTTGCCATCGGGGTTGGGTTTTCGTCGCTTGGCAACGACGTTGTAAAACAAGCCGCCC